AGATCTTAGGAGCAAGTGTTGGCAAATTCCCTGGCAGAAGCAAAAAGACAGCTGTCATTTGGCTGGTGGGGTCCTACACATTTGAGCACATGTTAACAGGACATCTCAGTGGCACCTGTCACTTTCTAGAGGCTTATCAGAAAGGGGCGTGGCAGCCTGGGTGTATTTGGACCACTCGTACGTGGGGATCTGGGAAGAAGATGAGGAGTAGCTGCTCAGGGGTGGGTAAGTTGGCTGGAAGCACCAGAATTAAAGTGTCCCCACTCTCCTTCTGGAGGTACCTCTGAACTGCGCAGGACCGGTCCTGGCCTGAGAACTTTAAAACACCTGCATGGCTTGGGGACATTTGTAAAAACAAATGACTTCATTGCAAAATCCTTCACTGCTTTCCCCTAGAAGCCCCGGGGGCAGGACTGCCTCTCACATTCACAGGCCCTGGAGGAAGCAAGAGTCCACAAAGGAGAGCCATCAGCCCATAGCTGCTCTCTTCACTCCCAACCGGGACCCAGCCAGCACCTGTGCGGACCTCAGGTTCATGGGCGTGGGCCCCCCGGTCCATGTGTCCAAGTTCTTTCTGAGCTCCCTCCCCCAAACCTGGCTACCTCTCTGACACGGAGGTGTGCACACCTGTGATCCACCTGTGGAAGGTCGAGCAGATAAGAGGCGGAATGAGCCCTAGAGGTTGGCTTGGGGCCATTTGGCAGAGTTCCAATAACCTCAGTCCTTGGGACCTAGTCTAGGAGGTGAACGCTGAGTGAAGGCCTAGAAGAGGACCCTTTAACGTACAGGTGAGGGCAGGGGTCCCACAGCTCCAGTCTGAGGGCTACGACAAGCCAGTGTCTCAGGTGGCCTGGGGCGCGTGGGGGACAGTGACGCGCCCTCAGAGGCCTAACTCCCTGTCCTGTTTGGCAAGGCCTGAGTCTGGGGAAGCTCAGTTCTGGCTGAGATGAAGGCTCCCACTAGGGTGGAAAGCGACACAAACCCACATTTCCGTGCAAAGGCAGAGGACACTTCCTCGGTCTCAGCCCCAGAGGGGGAGCTGGGGACACAGAAGTTGACACCTGACGCTTCTCCAGAAGAGCCCTCTCTGGGAGTTCAACTCAGTTACTTTATGTCAATCATTTTTAAATTGGTTTTTCCTTTCTTTTTTTTTTTTAAGATTTATTTATTTATTTGAGAAAGAGGGAACGCAAGCAGGGAGGAGGGGCAGAGGGAGAGGGAGAAACAGACTCCATGCTGAGCAGGGAGCCTGATGCAGGGCTTGATCCCAGGACCCTGGGATCATGACCTGAGCCAAAGGCAGACGCTTAACCCATTGAGCTGCCCAGGCGCCCCTTTTCCTTCCTTTATTTTTTTTATTTTTTAATTTTTTAAAGGGTTTTCTTTTTTTATTGATGTGTAATTAACATAGTGTTATATTAATTTCAGATGTACAATATAATAATTCAATAATTCTTACATTGCTCAGTGAGCATTATGATAAGTGTACTCTCAATCTCCTTTATCTATTTCACCCATCCCCCACCCACCTGCCCTCTGGCAACCATCAGTTTGTTCTCTGTATTTCAGAGTCTGTTTTGGGGCGCCTGGGTGGCTCAGTCGTTAAGCGTCTGCCTTCGGCTCAGGTCATGATCCCAGGATCCTGGGATCGAGCCCCGCATCAGGCTCCCCACTCAGCGGGAAGCCTGCTTCTCCCTCTCCCATTCCCCCCTGCTTGTGTTCCCTCTCTCACTGTCAATCTCTCTGTCAAATAAATGAATAAAATCTTAAAAAAAAAAAAAGAGTCTGTTTTTTTGTTTGTCTCTTCTTTGTTTGCTTTGTTTCTTAAATTCTGTGTGTGAGTGAAATCATATAGTATTTGTCTTTCTCTGTCTGACTTATTTCACTTAGCATTATACCTTCTAGATCCATCCGTTGTTGCAAATGGCAAGATTTCATTCTTTTTTATGGCTGAGTAATATTCCATTGTATATTATGTATGTCACATCTTCTTTATCCATCTACCTATTGATGGACACTTAGGTTATTTCTGTATCTTGGCTATTGTAAATAATGCTTCAGTAAACATAGGGGTGCATATATCTGTTCAAATTAGTGTTTTTGTTTTCTTTGGCTAAGTACCTAGTAGTGGAATTACTGGACCATATGGTAATTCTATTTTTAATATTTTGAGAAATCTTTATACTGTTTTCCACAGGGGCTGCACCAAATTGCATTCCCACCAACAGTGTACAGGAGTTCCATTTTTTCCACATCCTCACCAACACTTGTTATTTCTTGTCTTTTTGATTCTGCCCATTCTGAAAAGTGTTAAGGTGATAACTCATTGTGGTTTTGATTTGCATTTCCCTGATGATGAGTGATGTTGAGCATCTTTTCAACTGTCAGACATTTGTATGTCTTCTTTGGAAAAATGTCTATTCAGGTCTCAGCCCATTTTTAATCAGATTATTTGGGGTTTTTTGGTGTTCACTTGTATGTGTTCTCTATATGTTTTGGATATTAATCCCTTATTGGATATATCATTTGCAAATGTCTTCTCCCATTTAGTAGGCTGCCTTGTTTTGTCTTGATGGTTTCCTTTGCTGTGCAAAAGCTTTTTATTTTGGTATAGTCCCGCCCAATAGTTTATTTTTGCTTTTGCTTCCCTTGCCTAAGGAGACACATCTAGAAAAATGTTTCTATGGTCGATGCCAAAGAAATTATTGTCTGTGTTTTCTTCAAGGAGTTTATGGTTTCAGGCCTCACATTTAGGTCTTTAATCCATTTTGAGTTTCTTTTTGTGTAAGGTGTAAGAAAGTGGTCCAGCTTCATTCTTTTGCATGTAGCTGTCCAGTTTTCCCAGCACCATTCAATCAATAGACTACCTTTTCCTCATTGTATGTTCTTGCCTCCTTTATTGTAGATTAATTGGCCATATAAACATGGTTTATTTCTGGGCTCTCTATTCTCTTGACCTATATGTCTATTTTTGTGCCAGTAGAATACTGTTTTGATTACTAAGAGTTTTAGTAATATATTGACTCATATAATTCTTTTTTTTTTTTTTTTTTAGATTTTATTTATTTGACAGAGAGAGACACAGTGAGAGAGGGGACACAAGCAGGGGCAGAGGGAGAGGGAGAAGCAGGCTTCCCGTGGAGCAGGGAGCCCGATGCGGGACTCGATCCCAGAACCCTGGGATCATGACCTGAGCCGAAGGCAGACGCTTAACAACTGAGCCACCCAGGCGCCCCTGACTCATATAATTCTTACCACAGCATTATTACGTGGATACCTTTGTTATCCCATTTATCGATGAGCAAGCTATAGCACAGAGAGATTAATAATGTGCCTGAGATCACAGTGATGCTAATAAGTGGCAGAACTGGGATTTGACTTGAGATAGTCTGAGAACCCGTGTGCTAAACTAGGATGTCATACTGCCTTTCACACTTGGTGACAGCACTTTTCTGAGCTTCCAGACAGGCAAGGCAAGACTCTTCAGTACTTTTCCCAAGTGATAAAATCTTGAGAAAATGATTGGATAGATTGCCATATGAGTAACATTATGTAACATAATAAAAACTATGATTAATTGCTGTTTTGCACAGATCCAAATGTGTTCTTCAAAGGGTGCCTGAGTGGCCCAGTAGTTAAGCGTCTGCCTTCAGCTCAGGTCATGATCCCAGGGTCCTGGGATTGAGCCCCACATCAGGCTCCCTGCTTGGCAGGAAGTCTGCTTCTCCCTCTCCCACTCCCCCTGCTTGTGTTCCCTCTCTCACTGTCTTGGTCTGTCAAATAAATAAATAAAATCTTTAAAAAATATGTGTTCTTCAAAATAGTATTTTTCACATCAACCCTCAATAAAAAGGGTTTATTTTTTTTTAAAGATTTATTTATTTTAGAGAGAGAGAGAGAGAGCACACAAGCAGGGGGAGGGTCCTTTCTTTTTTTAAAGAGAAAATTCTTTTAGCACAATTCACAGGAGTTGGAAATAACAGGAAAAAATGATGGGACCTGATGGTATTATTCACTTTGGCCCTCTCAGTACCTATGCTTTGAATATTTGAAGTCTTCTCAGTGGGCTACTCTTGAGAAATTATGATGGTCAGATAATGAAGCTTATATTTAAATAATTAGAAAAAATGGCCCCAAGTGAAAATCATTCTAGAAATTTTTATGTTAAGGATTAAGTTTGAGGTTCACTTACGGATGAGGAATGCTTTGGAGACTTGGTGGCTGTTGTTTGTTCTAGGAGTTTGGTGAATGATGGGGATTCAACACGTTGACTTCCATCTTCCCATTTTCAGTACAAAGTTGATGCTCTGATCGCTGCAGGATATTGGCATTTCCTGAGGTATTAACAAATAATTGTGATTCCAACCACTGTCGCTTCTGTGATTACTTCCTGCTATTGGTAAATTTCAGGTGCCAAAGAAAACCCGCCAAGGAAAATCAAGAGCGCCCCTAAGGCTGGAGCCTGATGCGCTCTCGAAGAAGGCAGGAAACAGGCGAAGCAGGAGTTGAAGGACTGTGACAAATGAAGGGCCTTTTAGACCTAAGGTGTTGAATTTCAGTCCAAAGGGAGTGACTGTCACTGGGGCTCCCAGGGTCTGGGAGCATTTATAACCTGAGATTGGGGGTGGGGCAGGGGGGCAATCAAGTTGGTACTTGAGTGCTTGGTAGGTTGCAATTTAGTCAAGAAAATCCTCTATTTCAAAGTCTAGGGCAGAAAAAAAGCTTCCAGGGCACAAGGACTGTCTTCCTTTGCTGCAGTCAAGTGCCTCTGCCATTTACCCAGTTTCTAGCACATTTATTTGTGGAAAAAATGAAAAGGCAGCAGGGAGGAGCTGGCGTGTGACTGGGAGTATGCTGAAGGCAGGACTGGGAGCAGGTGCACAGGACACGGGCCGCCGCAGGAGCTCGGGGACCTCGAGTGGCGCCTTGCTCGCATCACCCCCACCCTGGCCTTGCCAACACAGGGCGCAGCGGTGAATGTCACTGCAAACACCACAGGACACACTCACTTAGCTTCTGTTTAATTCTAGTCAAGATTTCGAACATGTATACATTTTTTTTATACAAGTACATGCAAAGTTACAAATATAGAAAATATAAAGTACATGCATATTTCGAAGACCACGATGGATCTATCATACAAAACTATTCAGTGCACATGTAAGCCTGAGGACCACGCAAAAGGGTTTTCTACATATTAAGTATTTAGTACCTTACAAAACCTGTTGTGCATTAGATATATCCGATGTTAACTCCTTTAACCAAAATTTCTAAGTCTGTCATACACAATATATATATATATAATAACTCTTTTTTTTTTTACATCAAATACCCGCACAGTGCAAGCCAGGAACATTGCAGAATGCTAATTTATCTGCTAGGTGACAATATTGAACAATCCAGACAATAATTTCACCTTACTTAAATAACAGTTAACAGAATTCCTTTTTTCCACCCTGAATGGATATTTCTGTCATGTCCGACCTAAGATATTTTTTTGGATGGCCTTCCATTCTTTGATTCAAAAACCGATTATAGAAACTAGGACTTGACATAATTCTGGTTTTTGACAATTATGAGACAGCAATGAAGAAATGCAATCATTTTTCTTTGTCTACTAATCATTTTCTCCATTACGCAATCCTCTAGGATGTTGGTTATTTTAACAGCTGCACCTTCCTGTGTCAAAATCATTCTGGTTTACAGATAAATGAACAAAGATTTGCTCTCAGTGCCCGGAAGGCAGTTCAATTTTTTACTGCCTTAATTATCTAGAGTTTAGATTATGAAAGAAAGGAATGTCACATGTAGGTGCTTTACATGTCCCAAATGGGAGCTTGCCTCGAAGGGCACCACTCCCAAGTGTGGGATTTTTTTTAGCATTTTCGCACTGTTGGTTATGTTCATTCCCTGTGAAAACATCCTCTGCCGAGGTCTAGTGTCGCATGACTATTTACGCTTGATGTTCTGGCTGCTGTGTGGCCCACACCGCAGAATGCAAACCATCGTCCCAGTTCTCTGCTCTCTGGTGGGCTGACCCGGGGTCCAAGAGCAAGGGATTTCTAGTTTCGCTTTTTGAATGAGTATCATGTGGCCTCCTTTTAAATTTGGCAGAAATGCTCTTTGCACAGGAAAATGTGATCGGGTTCTTTTAGAACGGATGAGAAAAATTTCCCCAAGTTGCTATGAAATCACGGTTAAGATGGGGCATTAGTGTACTGAGCTCTAGCTGGGGAAGGAGCCAGAGGTTTTCAGGCAAAGGTATTTGAAGACTGTTTTGAGAATTGTTTTGGCCTCAACCTGCTGCACTAGACAAAAAATAAAATAAAATAAAATAAAATAAAAATAAGCCCTAGGTCAACTGCTGTTATTCCCAGCCCAGCGCTAGCATGGGCCCCTGAAAGATTCAATCACACGGGGGCTCCAATAAATAGCATCCTGGGTCTGCTCCACGTTTCCCAGGGCTATCGGGGCCAAGGGTATTAGCCTATGGGTGATAAAGAGAGAAGCAGGAATGAGACACCACCACTAAAGGGCTGTAGGTAGACACCCCCTCCCCCAACCTGTAAAAGATGAAGACGTTGGAGAGGACGGGATGCTCACTCTCCTCATCCCACTACCAGGAGAATGAGCAGCGAGATGAGGAGGATCACAGGCGGCGGGGAGAAGAGGATGGCACTCGCCCCTCTTTGGTAGTAAGCCTCGGACTCTCTCTGGTACTGGCTGACACACATCTGCTCCACTACGCGCTCCATGATCTTCATGTCGGTCTCCGTGAAGTTCTCCCCCTTGGTGGTGGTGGTCACCGTGTGCTGCTTGACCGTGATGTTGACGCAGTCGTGCACGAAGTTGTTCTGGCTGCTGTACTGATCCACCGGCTTGTAGTACACTTGGTTGGGGTAGCGGTGCATGTTCTCACGATAGTAACGGTCCTCATAGTCGTTGCCGAAATGAATGAGGGGCCTGCTCATGGCACTCCCCAGCATGTAGCCACCCAGGCCCCCCACTACCGCCCCGGCTGCCGCGGCTCCTGCCATGTGCTTCATGTTGGTTTTGGGCTTATTGGGCTTGCCCCACTGACTGTGGCTGCCACCACCTTGACCCCAGCCGCCACCACCGTGCGGCTGTCCCCAGCCGCCACCGTGGGGCTGACCCCAGCCGCCACCGTGGGGCTGTCCCCAGCCGCCACCGTGGGGCTGACCCCAGCCGCCTCCGCCCTGGGGTGGGTAGCGGTTGCCTCCAGGACTGCCCTGCCCTGGGTATCGGCTTCCCCCGGTGTTCCAGCCTCCTCCAGGCTTCGGCCGCTTCTTGCAGAGGCCCACGTCACTCCATGTGGCCACAAAGAGAACCAGGATCCAGCCGCCGATGTGGCTTTTCACCATGATGACTTAGCTGCAAAACGAGAAGGGTGTCAGTGTCCTACGTTTGCTGCATAATGAATGAACGCACAGCAAGGGCATCTGCACGTCGGTCACAAAGGCTCCCCACTCCTACTTCTCCTTTGCAGCACTTACGACAGAAGTGATTTCAAATAAAGCATTAATACAACTCTTTTTCCTTCTCTAAGGACAAATTTGACCTTAATTATCATTTCTGGCTCTATTTCCTGGAAACCTGATAGAGATGGAATGTCAACAACGTTGCTTATGGTAAAAATAACTTGATTGATAAACTGCATCCGGGCTGGGTGAAACTAGAAACATCTGGTGGGCCTGCCATAGCTTTGAGCATCTTTAGGGCAGTGATTATTGTAACCGGGTATGTCCTTGGGGGGACCCTGGCTCCTGTGGGGTCTGGGGCCTCTACACCAAAGGGAACCCTTTATCCACCAATATGGGTCTCATTCCCTTGTCCCCGAGCAGCCACTTGTGGGGGCTGGGAGTGGAGACAAGTCCCTGGCTGCTGTGTGGACTGCTATGAGGATCCTGTTGTAGCCCCTTCTGGAACCTTCTGAGAACTTGGGGTGGCCCCTATGGAAGTCTTGGAAGTTGGGAAGCCCCCCACCTGAGCTTTGCAGGAATTAACTTTGAAAATCATTGGCTTGTGTCTTCTTTCGTCTGTGGGAACGGGCACTAGCAGGGAGGGCGTCTTGTCTGTTGCTCTCTCCTCAGGGGCCAGGGCGCTGCCTGGCAGACACACAACAGTGACTTGTTTGGTGAAGGAATTAATGCCCTCTGAACAGATAAATGCCTGCAAGAATTTCCTCAAAGTACTTCTCAATACGGTATTTTTTGGAAACAGGAAACACGCAGGATTTTGAAAGCCCTCTTGTAAATTCATCATCTATAAAAAGAGCCGCTCGAAGCAGGATAAAAATGCCTGGGTTTGGGGCGCCTGGATGGCTCAGTCGTTAAGCGTCTGCCTTCGGCTCAGGTCATGATCCCAGGGTCCTGGGATCGAGTCCCACATCGGGCTCCCTGCTCGGCGGGAAGCCTGCTTCTCCCTCTCCCACTCCCCCTGCTTGTGTTCCCTCTCTCGCTGCGTCTCTCTCTGTCAAATAAATAAATAAAATCTTTGAAAAAAAAAATGCCTGGGTTCACAAGTCACTGAATGAGTTTTAGTTCAGCACTTAACGGCTTATGAGGGACTTATTTTCTCCTAACATTTGGTACCAAAGAAACACGTCTTACAGAAAAGGGCTGGCACAGTTCAGGAATCCACAACCAAACTAAGTTGCCCTGGATAATAATTTATGACCCTTTGCAGAATGTACACTTGTAAAATGAAAAAAATCTTTCAGATGAAAGATGCTCAGTTCTAAGGGCAGAGATCAAAGACACACAGACATTCAGAGTGAGGAGAATAATGAAATAAGTAAATGATTCACCTTCCATTTATGCTTCTATCCTCATTGAAAAATCTTGGTGGAGACAGGTAAATAAAAATACATTTGAAAGTTACGAAAGCAGGTTCAACTGCTCAGCTCATGCCAATCAATCAGGCTTTCTGGAGGCTCTTCTGGGTCGGGTTGGAGGGGCAGGGTCCTGAGATGTGCCACCTGGCCTTATCCTCGCCTCTTGAGCCCCTGGTACTGGTCTCCTGCGGGCCTCTCCCTGCTGTACTCCCCAGTGCTCACGGGCTCTAGCTCTCAGCCTCCTTGCTGCCCACACCTTCACTCACACACCGTAGGGAACCAGACTAGGGGAGCGCCACCCAGTCAACAGCTCCCAATCTAATGGGGTTTCATGTCAACAGCTACTTCATTCACCCCAATCAGCCAAACCCAGCCAATACCCTGGAATTCTTTTTTTTTTTTTTTAAGATTTTATTTATGTATTTATTTATTTAAAGTAAACTCCATGCCCAATGTGGGGCTCCAACTTACAACCCCGAGATCAAGAGTCGCATGCTCCACCGACTGAGCCAGCCAGGCACCCACCCCCCTGACCCCCACTCCAGAGTTACTCTTGAATTTCCTCTTTTTCACAGCACACAGTGAATCTCCCAGCAAATGTTATCGGCTCTACCTTGAAAATAAATCCTAGGGTGCCTGGGTGGCTCAGTCGGTTAAGCGACTGCCTTCGGCTCAGGTCATGATCCTGGAGTCCCGGGATCGAGTCCCGCATCGGGCTCCCTGCTCAGCGGGGAGTCTGCTTCTCCCTCTGACCCTCACCCCTCTCATGTGCTCTCTCTCTCAAATAAATAAAATCTTAAAAAAAAGAAAATAAATCCTAAATCCCGAAACTACTCACATTTCCCAACATTACTTACTATCCTGGGTGAAGCGTCTGTTGCTTCTCATGGGGGTCTTTCAACAGCCTCCAACCAGCCTCCCTGCTTTTCCCCCGCCCCCACTGCGTGTTCTCTACTCAGCAGCCCAGAGGCTCAGACAACCTTTTTTTTATGTAGGTCACACCATGCCTCTTCCCTTCCCCCACGAAGCGGCCCACGCATTCAAGCTCAGGGTAAGACCCCAAGTCCTGACCGTGCCGCACGTGACTGCCTCCAGCTGCCCGCCTCTCTCTGGCCTCCTGCTCCTCACACTTGATAAGCACTTTCTCATCTCAGGGCCTTTGCACTTGCTGCTCCTGGGGCCTGGAAGGCTCCCCCTCCGGTTACTCAGTTACTCGTATGGCTCCAGTTTGCTCTGATGCCACCCCCGTGGGGCTGCCCGAGCCGCTCTACCCAAGTCAGCAGCCCGCATCCTATCCCCTTCTCCTGCTTTTCTCCAGAGTGGGGATGCCTACCTGACATCTACGATTTACTGTTTGCTTACTGTTCGCCTTCTCCGCGGGAGTGCGGGCTCCCCCAGGGTGGGAGTTTCGCTTTGTTCACAGCAGTGGCCCTAGTGCCTAAATGGAGTGCCTGGCTCACAGCCCGACGCGATAAATGTGGAATGAATGGATGAGTGTGGAAACATCCGTAATAAAGCATCATAACCAAACTAAAAATTAACCTGTTACAAAAGTGAACCATATGTATGAATTTTCAAAACCCTCTTCCCTGCACTGGCCCGCTGTCCAACATGCACAGTCCAGTTATAGGAACGCTGAGTTCATGTGCCATCCACCACCAGCGAGGATTGCTGACACAGTCGGGGCAGGAGGAAGACGCTGTTGCAAGGGGAGGAACGCGGCGGTTGGCTTTGAACATGCCTGGTCCGAGGCTGTAAGAGTCACAGCTCTGTAAGCTGTGGAGACATGTGGGCAGATGATCAGACCACCTAGGAAGGGAGGCACAGAGAGGGCCTCGTTCCTCGGGAAGCCGGGTGCACGAGGTGGAAGGGGCCACAGGGCATTCGGAGTGGAGACAGGCAGTGAGAGAGAACACTGGCGGGGGGGGCGGCGGGGCGGGGGAAGGACCACAGGGGGCTTCGCGGGAGAGGAGCCTGCATGTGTGGTGGAGAGGCAGACGGGGCCAGGCAGTAACGGGACTCACCAGCAAGGGGTGCAGACATTCCATCTTCCCTGGGACAGTTTACACCTGCTGTGCCTGGTGCTAATATTAATAGTGCCCTTTTCATTCTCAAGAGTGTCCCCGTGGGTTACTATATGTAGCCTAATGATAGGACATGTTAAGTCATCTGGACTTGATCCTGAAAGTACTAGGGAGCCAGTGAAGAGTTCTGGGTTCTCTTTGAGAAAGAACATTGTGGAGGATGGACTGGGGCCTGTGTGTGCGTGTGCGCACGCGTGCGAGTGCAGGGAAACTAGTCTCAAGGCTCCTGCAGGGACTGAGCTAGAGATGGTGGCCTTGTCAGGGAAGGACGGTCATGGATGGTCTGATTGGAAGGTAGCTTCTGGAGGGCTTGGTGTTTGATGTGGAGGGTGAGAGACTGGAAGAGTCAGGGTTTCGGGACTGGGCAGCTGCATGGACGGACACAGAACGGTGGAGGAGGCCTGGAGGGAGACAAAGGAAGGGCTCGGCTCTCACTCCTCCCTCTCAAGCTATGTATGTGAGACGACAGAGACCAGGAGGCAAGAGGGCCTCAGAGCCGTGGGCACGCGTTGCTGTTCGGGACTCCATTAAGGCTGAGTATTGGATAAAGTTGGCTAACGACAGAATACGTGAGGACAAGATCATTTTAGAATCACTTGAGAACAACAAAAGCAACACTGAGTTATGAAAAGTATTCAACATAGCAACTACATTTTGAAGTAGAGACGCATTTCTAAACATAAGAGGGACTCAAAACTTACAGGAGACCTTGGAGAATCTCTTCCTGCTCGTGATGAAATGAAGAATATCTGGTGTCAGCGAATGCAAACCTGTCACTCTGCGAACTGGGCTACCAAGATTCACAGACGTCAAGTGACATACCTAGGATTGCAGTGCTGGCGAGTGAAATTGCTGGGGATGGAGACGGGGTTTCTCAATTCCTGGAAGATACTCCCTGTCAGTGGTCGGCTTGTGGCCCGATCCTTTGGTACATTTCAAGACATGAAGGGCAGAGCCACCAGGCCAAACCGTGTGGGTCATCGCCCCTTCGGGTCAACGTGGCCTCGGCCACTCGGTATGGCCACTACCAGAGGCACCAGGAGCTGCAGCAGCTTCCAGATCGCTCCAGGGCCCGGGACCTGGACCCTGGTGGTGCCTCCAGCTCTAAGTCTGACTCTACAGTGACGAGCACGTGGAATTTGACCCCCAGAGGGAGCGTGATTTCTGCAGGACTCTCTCCTCGTTGAAGAAGAAGGATCCCCGCATTTATCAGAAAGATGCCACCTTCTATCAGAGAACAGCACCGTCCTCGGAGAGTGAGGAAGCGCCGGCGGCCAAAGGGAAGCAGAAGAAGATGCGGCTCCGTCCCTGAAGGGCTGTGGAAGGAAGGTTATCTTGGAGAAAGAAGGCAAACTCAGACGTGGAGACCTCCAATCAGAGATTCCAGCAGATCTCGTCGAAAAGTTATGTAGAAGCACAGAAACAGCTCAAGGAAAGCTTCCGGGCATTGCGGG